TCTCGAATTCCACCATTTCATGGTCTCTGCAGCCAGGACTGCCCAAGACCTTCATGTTCTCCACCAACCTCTCTTTGTTGGTGAGAACAAGGTCCAGCATGGCACCCCTCCTCATCGGTTTGATCTGGATTCAGCATCCCAGTAAGTTACTCCAGGGTTGTAGGAAGGCTGTAAGATGTTCCTCCACTTACTGCACAGACTTCTTAGGAGCTATTGATGCAGGGGCTCAGACAGGAGTGTCTTCAGTAATAATGAAAGGCATCCGAACTGCAATAAAGAAGAATTCTCTACGATCTATCAAGAAGAAAATTCTGCTCCCTGTGACTTACAGGAAGCTCACTGGGAGGAACTCCAGATATCCAAATGGCAGCTTCACTGAGCTCAAGGACAGTGGCATTTATTGATTTCCCCAGAGCCAGGATTTCACTTCCAGAAGAGTTCGTTGCGATCATCTTAGTCTGACTTTTGGTCTAATTGTCTGTGGGCTGAGCTAGGGCAGAGCTTTAAAAATGAAATTCAGTTTTGATATAATGATAGAAAATCCATCATATTCTTCAAAAATCTGACAACCTATCACCCTCACTGTGAGAAATACACACCTTCTTTCTAATTTGATTTTTTTACTCCTTTCAGCTTTCATCCAGTGAATTATCTTTGCTGAATGGAGAGACTCTTTAACATTTAAGCCACTCTCTGTGCAACTGCTTTTTAAACAGGAAAGCAAAACTAGACTGTGCAGATCAGGGAAAAGAGTGCAGAAGTATGTGTGGCATTCAGAGGCATGATACATAACATAATCTTAACAGGCTTTATAAAGGCAATTTTTACTTTTGTACCCTAAGATGAGATTGATTTTGAAAAGACAAGATGAAAGGTTGCAACATAAATGGCACTCACCCCGAAACAACCAGATCCCGTCTCAGGTGTCGTGCTGTCATATTCCTGCTTTCATTGTGTTGTATCTCACAGGCTTTCTCTCACTTCTAATGTGTGTATCAGCCCTTTCATTATAAGCCCTAATACTCTCTTTCAGATTTCGGATGCTTTAATCAAGCGTGTTCAGGTATCTCAGGAACAGTGGGTCAAAGGAGCCTTGGAGCCAAAAGTGTCTGCTGAGTTTGACTTGACTCTGGATAGCGAACCTTTACTGCAGTCGATCCACCAGCTGGATTTTATTCAGATGAAATGTAGGGGTGAGCTTTTGTGATTTTCTTTTTTCTGGTTTTTGTGCATGTGTTGAAACAGTGCTGGGAAGACGACAGGCACAGAGGGAGGAAAGAGGAATGGCTTGAAATTGCTGAGTGGTTTTAAAAAGTTTTCAAACAATTCAGGTTACTGGGTGTTTCCTAGAAGGCTGTGCTCACCTCAGATGCAGTGACCTGAACAAGCTCAGACAGAGACACTAGGTGCAGTTGAAGATTTGAAAGGATAAATTCTTCAAAGTAGAGCTATCTCTCAGCTTTGGAGCTAAAAAAACCCATTAGCTTAATGAAATTTTATGCCATTTTACAGCACTTCTAGATTTAACACAGTTAATTCAAAATACCAGTCACCCCTATCTTTTCAGGAACAACTGAAGTAGTAAATAAGTATTCCCCTCCTTGCACACATATGTTTGAATA